TTCCTCTCCCAATTCCACTTCACCCTCATCCACCGCCCAGGGAAACTCATGGGGAAACCCGATGTGCTCTCGCACCGCGCTGACCACCTGAAAGGCAAGGACGACAATGACAGGTTGACTCTCCTCCAACCCACCTGGTTCAAGGCCTGCACGGCGGAGGCAGTCATGGTGGAAGGCGAAGGGGTGACCATCCTCGAGAGGATCAGCAGGGCAAAGGACCTGGATGAGAAGGTGGTAAAGGCGATGTGGGAACTGGGAGAGGGCATGCTGAGGTTGGATGAGTGGGAGAAACAAGGAGAGCTGGTTCTGTGCAGAGGAAAAGTATACAACCCAAAAGACCCGCAACTCCACCATGACCTGGTGCGTCTGTACCATGACGCTGTAGGCGGGATAATCGCCCACGCGCAGAGCCGGCTCGGATACCCGCTTCCAACATTCAGAAACCACTTTCATTCACGCGACGACTCGGTACAAATTTGGTGTCCAAAAATAGTCCTAATTCGTACGATTCTGACGATACCAAGAACGTCCTAATCGGTGGAGATTTGACGGAGTTCTATATTGGACAGGTTAGGCACGGAAGGTCACGAGCATGTGCGGGCGTGGGAATCTCAAGCGGCAACCCAGAATTCCAGCCTCACTCGTTCCCACGGCATCTAATAAATTGGTAAAAATGCTTATTGGCTGCGTGAGAGTTATCTCCGGCTACATTTCCAATTTAGGCTCTTAATTCCGTAAATCCGTTGAGAAATCGCTTATTTTCTTATATTTTCATATTTTGCCATCATTTCAGTTATTGATCAATATTCTTTTATTGATACTGTTACCCTTTTCTATTTATTTCGCCTAATAAGGTATGCAGGTGCCATATGGCACCAATATTTCCCATCTATTATTTCTAAAAATAATTGTTCCTTATATCCTGTACATACCGGATTTTGGAATAGAAGTTCTCCCCTCCCCCAAATTCTCTAAGGTGCTAGGACGCGCTAGAGAGGGTGTGAGTGTGTGGAATTCCAACAGTAGGAATAAGGGCAGCTGTCTAGCTCACAACGAGTGAGTAGTGGACACTGAGCCCGGACCTTGCGGAATCCCGGAGAACCCACACGGAGTTAAGGATCGAGAGTCGAGCGAAGTTTAGAGAGAGAGTAGAGGTTTTGGAGAGTTTGGCCCCACGAGCTTAGTCGGCATAGAGAGCCGCTAGCCCTCTTGCAACGCACATGTGACAGGGCATCCAGGGTGGTGGAAGACCCTGGAACTCGTCTCCTGCGACTACTGGTGGCCACAGATGGTGGAGTATGTTGGGCAGTACGTACGCAGATGCAACACCTGCAACCGTGTCAAATCCTTCCCCTCTCGTAAAGTGGGAAAGCTCATCCCGAACAAGATCCCTGCCTGCCACTGGCAAGTGATCTCGGTAGACATGATTGGAGAACTCCCCAAGTCCAAGGGCCACAATGCCATCCTGGTCGTAGTGGACTGCCTATCCAAACGCATCCATGCAATTCCAACAGTGACAACGGTGGACTTGGCAGTGAAGGAGCGGAACTGAGAGTGCAGTTTTCCCTGTTCCTGGTTGTGGGGGAGTGTACCTGTTGAGTACGGTGCTGTGTTAGTGTTTTGGTTGCTTTTTCAACAGTTTAGTATGCTATAGAAAAATCAAACAATCAAACACCCTGCGGAGCTGTTCAAATAATTCTGTCTGTCTGAGCCGACTCTGGTCTGTTCAGCTCTCAGTCAGAATTCACCTAATTCTACCACTTTTTAGTTTAGGAAGTGATTACTCCTATGTGTGGAGAGATACTACTATTTTCTCCCTTCACACTGTCACTTATTGTTCAGTAGTAACAAACTGCTTCTAAGTGTCTTACTTAGACGCCTATAAATCTCCTATCTCACTTATCACACTGTTGTTGCCTTTTGTACAGTGGCAAACTTAACTGTCTTATCACTTTTTCGCACTGGAGTGAGAACCAGAAGTGCTTGAGAGAAATATTACTCTATTTTCTTACTTCTCTGAGGGGCTGCAAAGTGAGCGAAATCATGGTCCTTTTATACCTTTCAAGACCTTTCTTTCCCACGCTTTGCACTATTTACATGCAATAGAGTATTTACAAGCTTTTGTTCTAGAAAGCCCTAATGACTTGCCCAGATGACTTAGTCAGATATGACTCAACCAAAATGACTTGGTTAGATGTGATGGGGCTGTGTATGACTCAGTCTGAATTGGTTTCAGGCTGTGCATTTCTATTTTCAAGAAATGACTCAACCATATTATGACTCAACCAAAGTGACTTGGTCAAAAATGACTCAGCTGGAAATGACTCCATCAGAAATGACTCAGTCAGGGTGTCATATAGTTCTGTCTAGAAAATATTTCTAGGTAGTTGTTCATAGGTTCATATAATCCATATAGTGTAAGAATGTGAGGAAATGTTCTTCAAAGTATGTTTTAACATAAACAGTCCAAAAAAAATGTCATAAAAATGTAATGCATGTCAGATCCCCCTTGTTCCACAGCCATGGGAACATCTGGTGAATGTCTGTGCACAGGGAAACTTGTGCCAAGACTGAGGCTGAAGTGTGGTCACCTTACCAGTTAAAGTGTTTAACTTGTCACATGACCTTCAACATGGTGTCGAATCCAAGTGATACACACAACCTTGATTGACTCCTTCAATTACTCTTTCCTCCCATTCCAACTTGCTATCATACAAGGGTCAAGTGTCCATGCATGTGAGGTCATTCTTTAGTTGTTGATGATGTCCTCGGAACTTTCCCTACAGCGGGGATCATGCAGCTTTTCCTTGAACATGTCTGGAAGCACCATGGTCTCCCTGAAGAGATCCTCAGCGACAGAGGGAGCGCCTTTGTCTCGCGATTCTTGAAAGAACTTGCGGACCTCCTCGGTGTCAAGCTCACCCCCTCAACACCCTACCACCCCCAGACAGATGGGCAGATGGAGAGAGTAAACCAAGAGGTAGAGGCTTACCTCTGGGTATTCGTCAACCATCACCAAGATGACTGGGCGGACTGGCTCCCGCTAGCGGAGTTTGCCTATAACAACCATGTCCACTCCTCCACCCGCCGAACCCCTTTCAAGCTCGACACTGGCCAACACCCTAGGATGGGGACAGAGCCCACATGCACATCTGAAGTAGAAGCTGCTGATGCCTTCTCATCGAGGATGATGAAGATGCAAGAAGAGGTGAAGGCAGCGCTAGAGCACGCGGCGGACAAGATGGCCCGCTACTATGACCGGAACCGCAAGGCGGCCCCTACATACCAAGAAGGCGACCAGGTCTGGCTCAGCACCCAGAATTACATGACAGACTGCCCAACCAAGAAGCTGGACCATAAATGGACCGGCCCCTTCACGATTATTAAAGTCGTCTCCCCTGCTGCTGTCAAACTCCGGCTCACCGCCTGACAAAGAGGGATTCACCCAGTCGTATCTGTAACAAACATCAGACTGCACCACCCTGATGAGATCGCGGAACGCCCTGCCGACCCCCGCCCAGGCCCAGACCTCGTGGATGGAGAAGAGGAGTATGAAGTAGAGAAAATCCTGGACTCTAAGTGGCTACGCTGAAAACTCCGGTACCTGGTAAAGTATACAGGGTGGCCACACTCAGAAAACCAATGGCTCATGTGCAACCACCTAACCCATGCCTCAGACCTAGTCGAGGAGTTCCACCGGATGCACCCACATGCCCCAGGGAGAGAAAGAGAGAACTGCCCAGCTGCTATGAGGCAAAGCGGCTTAAGAGGGGGGTGATGTCAGGGCACACCCACCTGACCCCATGCCACGCTGCCCTACTCCACTCCCCTGCTATCACTCCCTGTTTCTTCTTTCCCCTTTCCTTCTTTCTTTCTATTTCCGTTCCATGGTCGACTTCCCCTTCTCTATGTATTACTACACACCTAACCCCACTCCCCCAATCGCCATGCCTGCTGCACACATTCCTGCTCACAGAGCGGCACACCTCCGGGATCTCCCACGGAGATACCCAGGGGAGTGCGGCTGTGTGCGGAGATGACATGGCTCCTCCCATGTGACCCCAACTGCATGTATATAATAGTGCCTGGGGTGGGAACAGAAGAAGCAGCCTTCTTCTCAACTTCCCACTTCAGGTAAGTACTGTAGCTTCTCCCCTTTAATGATAATGCAACTTCCCACTTCAGACTAAGTGGTTGGGGATGCTCACCCCACAATGGGACCGCCACTATGCATCGCCGACATCTGTCCCATCAAGTCCCTTGCACCGGGACCTTGCCGCTTTCAGAGCTGTCCCTGACATGCTGCTGTCAAACTCTGACTCACTGCATGAGAGAAGGGGATCCACCCAGTCATGTCCATGACAAACATCAGGCTGCACTGCCCCGATGAGATTGCAGAACGCCCCGCTGACCCACACCTGGGCCCAGACCTTGTAGATGGGGGAGAAGAGTATGAGGTCGAAAAAATTCTGGATTCCAGATGGGTGCCGGAAACTCTGGTACTTGGTAAAGTATACCGGCTGGCCAAACTCAGGGAACCAGTGGCTCGCACGTGACCACGTGACCCACGCCTCCGACCTAGTGGAAGACTTCCATCGGACACACCCTCACACCCCAGGGAGAGAAAGAGAAGACTGCCCAGCCACTTCGAGGTGAAGTGGCTCAAGGAGGGGGTGATGTCAGGGCATGCCCCAACATGCCCTGCCTGACCCCTGCTCCGCTTCCCCACTCTGCACCGCTTCTCCCTCCTTTCCCTTTCCCTTTCTTCTTTCTTTCTTTCTTTCTCTCTCTTACATGGACCACCTTTCCCACTGTTCAATGTATCACCAGCATGCATGCCCATTCCCCCTCCTGTATCTTACCATCCCCATATCGCCGCTACCGCTGCCTCACTTGCCCTGCACCCACAGCGGACCCTCTTGGGATCTCCTGCGGAGGCACCCAGAGAGCCATGGCTATGTGAGAGGGTGACATGGCACACCCCACATGATCGATCCTGCATGTATATAATAACAGCTGGAGTGGGAACCGAAGAAGTAGCCTTCCCTTTTAATGATAACTCACATTCCCACTTCAGACTAAGTGGTCAGGGATGCTCACCCCACGATGGGACCTGCTGCTATGCACAGCCGCTACTCGTCCCACCGAGTCCCGCACGCCGGGACCTTGCCACCCTCGGAGCTGTCCCTGACAATGACAACCCCTCGGTCTATGAAGTCTCGGAGAATGTCATTCATCATCGTTTGGAAGGTGGCAGGAGAGTTGCACAGTCCAAAGAACATTACCATTGGCTCAAACAACCCTCGGTTAGTGGCAAAGGCAGCTGTCCACTCATCCCCTTCTTTGATGCAGATGTTGTTGAATCCCCATCTCAGATCGAGGGCTGAGAACCACTTGGCTGTGCGGAGTCAGGTGAGGATGTTGGAGACGAGGGGGAGGGGGTAGTTGTTGTTGTTGTTGTTGTTGTACTCCATTTTGTTACCCTGTGGCCGTGTTTGTACATGGCCATGTCTAGCCTGACTAATAATTGTTAGAAGTTGCAGCCCAACGCCACTGGTGGTCAAGGGAGTCACCCGGGCCGGACATTCATGCTTTGGGAAGGGGAGGGGCGCTTTGAGGCACAAACGGTGGCAACCTCTTAGACTCTTTGTCTTTGCGCTTTTGTTTTCAACTTGTTGTTTACCATTTATGTTTCACCTCAGTGGTGTAGAGTCATTACAAGATGTATATAAGGACTGGACTTGCACTAGCAGCTGATACCTCACTAATTGAAGTATCGCACTGCGCAGTTATCACAATAATTACATCTGAATGTACATGAGGGGCTCATCAATACAAGGTAGGGTGTCTGGTTGGTGTGGTCAGGGTGATGGGGACCTTGTTAGAACTGGGCGAGGGTGGATGATTCCAGAGGGGAACCGGAGACTTAGCAAGGAGGGACCTTGGCCTCAGCGACTCAAGCGGAGCGCTGTGCCATTGCTGTTTGTCCATTTGGTCCTTAATTTCACAGTAGGCAAGCAGGAAGTCTCTAGGGGGCATTTCAGGTCGATTTTAGACTAAGGACTAAAATGAGTATGTACAAGCACCGATATATAATGGAGGGGGGTGAAAGCACAAGGAAACAAAGGGGATCTGAATCGGAACGAAGGCATCCGAACGGGAACAAAGGGATGACAGAAGTGGAGCGGTACCAAAGGTCATAAGGTAGAACCTGTGATATGCCCGAAAGGAGGTAAGGAGGGCGAGGCCCAGAGGGGCAGGAGGATGAGGGGAAGTGGGGATGATGACTAACTGGCTAGAATGGGAAGAAGCAGCAGTCCAAATAGGGATGAGGGGGAAACGCGAGAGATACATTACAAGCAGTGAAAGTGCCGAAGATGATCTGTGAAGCTTGGAGGTTGTGGAGCTTACGGAGCTTACGGAGGCGGGGTTGAAAGTCTGAGGAATTTGGCAATGGTATTTACATAGTATGAGGTCACCAATGCAATGGACTAAGACCGAGGTGGAGTCAAAGTCTGAGTGTCAGGGACAGCTCCGAAAGCGGTGAGGTCCCGGTGCGAGGGACTTGATGGGACAGGTGTCGGCTATGTGTAGTGACGGTCCCGTTGCAGGGTGAGCATCCCCGACCACTTAGTCTGAAGTGGGAAGTTGAGAAGAAGGCTGCTTCTTCTGTTCCCACCCCAGGTGCTATTATATACATGTGGTCGGGGTCACGTGGGAGGAGCCATGTCATCCCCGCACACAGCCACACTTCTCTGGGTATCTCTGTGGGAGATCCTGGAGGTGTGCCGCTCTGTGAGCAGGAATGTGTGCAGCAGGTGCGGCGATCGGGGGAGCGGGGTTAGGTGTGCTAGTAATACATAGAGAAGGGGAAGCCAACCATGGAACGGAAATAGAAAGAAAGAAGGAAAAGGGGAAAGTGGTCTTGCGGTGCAACCCAGCATGCACGCATGCAGCACATGCCCTCGGGATCCCCCATGGGGACACCCAGATGACTGCAGCTGTATGTGGGGTGACATGGCAAACCTCATGTGACCTAAGCCGCATGTACATAAAGGTACCTGGGGTGGGAACCGAAGAAGTAACCTTCTTCTCACAGTTCCCACTTCAGGTAAGTAGCATAGCCCCCCCTTTTAATAACAACCCACAGTTCCCACTTCAGTCTGAGTGGCCAGGGACCATCATCCCGGACCAGGCTCGCCAGTACACATGCCTGCTCCACACCCCGCAACGGCCTCAGTGCCAGGCATTACCCTTGGGCCGCCTCGGCCCTGGACATGTCCCTGACAGTTTCCCCATGAGCTTCCCTGGGCAATGGATGAGGGTGAAGTAGAAGCGGGAGAGGAAGAGGGACCAGTGTGCTTGACATCGGTTAAGTCTCTGGACCATGCGGAAGTACCCCAGGTTGCAGTGGTCAGTGTAGACTTCGACCTTCTCCTCAGCACCCTCTAGGAAGTGCCACCATTCTTCGAGGGCCCGGACGATCGCAAGCATTTCCTTGTTGTACACCTCATAGTTCCGCTCTATGTCTGTAAAGCTCTTGGACATAAAGGCTACTGGGTGGAACTCTACCTGACTGGAGCTGGGAGAGGACCACGCCGGTCGCAAAGTTGGAGGCGTCACATTTGAGCCTGAGATGGCCTGAATCTGTGTGGAAGGAGAGGATGGGGGCAGAGGTGACGGCTTCTTTAAGGGCATGGAAGGCACTGTCTTCGTCTGGCCCCCAACTCCAGGCCTTGGTCTTCCGGGTCAGCGCATGGAGGGGTTGTGCTTTTTCAGAGAAATCTCTGATGAATTGACGGTAGAAGTTCACGAACCCTAGAAAGGATTGTACCTCCTTCACCTTGGTTGGGGTCAGCCAGTCAAGAACTCCATGGACCTTCACCGGGTCCATTGCAACGCTGCCCTCAGAAATGATGAGACCAAGGAACTCGATCCAGGTCCGCTCGAACTTGCACTTCTCCAGCTTCAGGAAGAGCTTCCGCATCCGCAACGTCTCCAGGACCTCTCAGATGACCTTCCGGTGTTCCTCTAGGGTGGAAGTGAAGATGAGTATGTCATCCATATAACAGATGACAACCTCCCGGTCAATGAAGTCCTGGAGGATGTCGTTCATCATTGTCTGGAAGGTTGTGGGGGAGTTGCACAGGCCAAAGAACATCACCATGGGCTTGAATAGCCCCCGGTTGGTCGCAAATGCTGCCTTCCACTCATCACCATCCTTAATCCGGACGTTGTTGAACCCCCAGTGTAGGTCTAGGGCTGAGAAGTACTTGGCCTTGTGGAGGCAGGCAAGAGCATCCGAGATGAGTGGGAGGGGGTATGAGTTCTTTACCGTGATTTCGTTCAGTTTTCGGTAGTCTTGGACCAGCCATAGCGACCCATCCTTCTTTTTGACAAAGAAGATGGGGGCTCCCATTGGAGACTTGGACGGCTGTATGCACCTGTTCTGTAGGTTTTCACATAAGAACTTGTCTAGTTCTCTCTGCTCTGGGCATGTGTCAGGGATCAGTAACAACCCTGGACCCTATGCCGGCTGTGCATATGTGCATGGGAAGTATGCTGGTAATTCCCATCTACTCTGCTTACCTAAGCCCCGGTGACCCGGATCATCTCCGGCATTGTTCTGGAACATTCTATGATCACGTGATTCTATCGGCAATCTGTTTGGTTTCCTTATTGCCGGACTCTACATGTATATAGCTGACCCTAAGATGGGGACATCCCTTTCCCCCAGCTTTAATTATAACTAGGTTATCGGAGCATCCTGCACAAGCATGCATGTCCCCTGACAGTGTGAGAGGAAGAAAGTTTTTCCTCTGGGCAGTTTGGCATCTGGCACCAGGTCTATGGCATGGTCCCAAGGCTTCCGGGGGGGTAGTCGGTCGAAAGCCTCTTTCGAAAACATGTCCCAGAAGTCTTGGTAGTGACCCGGCACTAACTCTTCGAACGATGCAGGCTCTGCATCCGGCTCATGAGCCTCCTGGGCCATTTGCTGGGAGGGCATTGTAGTCACCCTTAAGTCATGGCCCCACCCTGAGGGGATGATCGCAGCATAGAGGCCCATCCCCAGGTTCTATCAGAGGGTCCTGGTTGTCCGGCACCCATGGTGATTGGCAGGACGATGGGCAGCAGGACATGACAACCCTCTGTTGCACCCAGTCCACTTCCGGGTTGTGGTGGAGCAGCCACAAGTAGGGCTCCTAGTGGATCAGATGATCTGCAGATATCAGCAAACGCATCCGGAAATTCACGGATCCGGTTTTGGATTTTCAGAGGAAAATATCTGCGGTTTTTAATCCGCGGATTTGCGGATTATCTGCAGTTTTATCACATGATTTATTGCTTGCAGATATGCAGGAGATCTGAGGCAAATAAGGGTGAAATTCCCCATATTTACTGTAACTCCTACTCTACTGTGGCTTTTGAGAGGATAATATCCGCGGTTTCTAGTCCGCAGATAGGCGGATTATCTGTGGATTAAATATATCCCACTTTCCTAGACACCCCTCCTATGTTTCCATATTTTCTCCCAATTTTTTCAAGTCCTATCTAACCACCCAGGTCCGTTATTTCCAAATTTGGCATCTGACACCCATCTTTTGTGCCATTTTCCCCATATCTCTGTCAGTTCTCCACCAATATGAACATATTTGGTATTGTCAGAAAGCTCTCATCAGGGCCATTCTAACGAGATATAATTCTGGAACGTATTATCTATAATCCGCGGATTTCTAACCACCGGATACGGTTTTTGTTTCAAACCTCTAAAAATCCGCGGATTCTGATCCGGATCCGGACTGACCCGATTCGCCAGGAGCCCTAGCCACAAGTGCCCTATGATGAGGGATTGTCGTCCCAGGTTCGCAACAGCGAAACAGGCCCGCTCTGTGTGCCTCCCGAATGTTAGGAGGGCTTCTAGCTCCTCAATTATGGCTCCATTCTCATTTGGGGTCCCATCGATGTTACGGATGGGGATGGGCTGTGGGAGCGGGGTCGTCTCGAGCTTGTGCTTCCAAATGAACTTGGGGCTCACGAAGTTCCCAGTGGCCCCGGAGTCTAGGAGGGCGGACACGGACACAGAGGCGAGGGAGGTCAAGGTGGTCAGCTCCATGGTAAGGTTGAGTGACCTGGGGGACTGCTTCAAGAGGATGTAGATAGCGGGTGGGGATACCGCTACTTCGGGTGCTACCCTTGAGTCTCTCTTGCTTTCATGGGCTGAGGATGCATTTTTCCTCTTTTTCTTTGCGATAACTTGGTGGAACTTTTGCATTGGTGTTGGCTTACACACGCTGCGGTATTTACATGAGTTGTCCGCTACGGGCAGCCGGGACGCATCCCTCACTGGTTGCCCTCCTGAAAATCCTCTTGGGGATCCTCCTCTGGC